ATATGTATTTCAGTGGAAGCATTAGCTTTACTCATATCAGTGTGGGAAAATTCAACTCCCAGTCCTTTACTACCTTAAACGAAATAGTGTGAATACATATAATATGAAATATCAGTCTGTCTGGCACCTCCTGATATCTTGTTTTAGTCTTTCATTTTGAATTGTTCTTTCAGCCGGCTTCCTGATTCCAATCTGAATACTTATTAATATAATATTTGTACTATTTATTTTAGTCACACTAAATGGTCTATAATCTGTCAATTACCTTGATCTTGCTAAGATATGAGGATACCGGAATATAATCACATATATCTGGACTATAGTCAACGTAACTCACTTGCTCATATTATGCTCTTTTTCGGGTTACTAAAACAAACCTTTTAATCTCGTTTTGGTCGATGCCTATGATTTGCTTATTTCAAGGGTTTATAGCCGAACTGCTTTTTCTGTACCTATAAGTAGATTTTAATTTGCTACTGTTTTACATCAAAGATTTCAGGCGTTGCTAAAATGTTTACCACAATCCTACCCTTGCTTTATCTATCATTGTCTATCTTCATTGTTAGCACTATTAGGTCGTTGAGTTGACCAGCATCCTTTCAGTTGTGTTACCTTCCTATCCTTCTGGCAAGCAATGACCTTCACGGCCACCAAAGTTTATATCTTATTTTAGACTGTATCCTTATCTTCATGGAATTATATTTTTAAAATCTTACCTTAGCACATATTCGACCTATCTATATTACATTTAAGCGAAACATCATTCTTTGGATAATAGTTTTAGTGAAAGACTTCTTACATGACAAGGATTCGTTGTAACACATCACTTTTCTTCGCGGACATTATTTAAGCTATTAGACGACTTGAAAATCTTTGTTATCTCGTAGGTATGTAGAAAAAATAGATTTTGAAGAATCCCTTCATATACTCATGTTGGATTACCTTTCATTTCGTTTGAAGAGGCAAGTGGAAGGGATTCGAAAGTTGGTTCCACCGAAGGCTGGAGGGGTCGCCTTGGAGCTGTGGTTGTAAATTTGTGCGAATAGGTCATCGGAGCACCGCCATGCAACCCCGATGAATCCTTGCTGAGCTTTCGTCCGTCATGTGACGGACAC